TTCTGTCATTAATAACTCAATAATATGCGAATCTCGTAAAAGGTATGGAACTTTAAGTTTGTTTTTAACTTAATCTATATCAATACCTTCACACTTCGGTTGTAAACTTATACCCCCACCTTGTATATAATCACTGTTACTATAACTTCAAAATTTAAAAGTGCAATATATGTTACAGTAATAGCCGGCAGGTATTTACAATCTCCACTTCTTTTATCATACCGATACCAGTGGGCTAAGGCACAGCGAGAGCAAATGAGAGTTGGGAAGATTTACGACCTAGGAATGTAATACAACAATTCCTAGCCGTTTAATTATTTTAGTCACTGCATTTTTATCCCTCCATTTTGAATTTTACAACAGTAATTACAAATGTGAAATTAGTATACTAAGAAACTTATACAAACTGAGCTTCATTAAAATACGATCTATATTACGAGATTTACTACTTTCGGGTCCCACCATTTTTGATCCGCCATTTTGAATTTTGCAACAACCTCAATTTTGCAATTTGAAATCAGCATGTTCGAAAACTATTATAAAACATGAAAGTAAATATTTTCCTCTGTAGAAAAAGTTTAGCCATTTTGATATTAATTTCTGCCAGCAAATAGAACCGTAAAAGGGTTTAGAAGTATAGAAAACTCATATTCTGAGCACATTTTATCAACAAAAGTGGCTTACGAGTTTTCTGATTTACTTGTAAGCTGTAAAAACTTCAAAAAAGAGAGCTTATTTTTGATAAAAAAGTTGTTTTCGATCAAAGAGGCGACAAAATATAAAATTATGTATCTAAAATATGTCGCTTAAGTTGTAGATTAAGTTGCAATCATTAATTATGCTGCGTTCCTGGTCGATTCATACTTTTGCAGAAGCGATCTTTTGCAGAAATGATGACACAGTGAAATGATGATACAGTATATAAAACTAGATATTTCTACTATTCTTTTTAATCTCCAATTCCTATCAAATTTTTCAATATAGGAAAGAAATTAGGAAATTATACGAAACAAGAAAATATGCTGCATTATTTATCCCTTTAACTATTACTCTTATTTACTTTGCATAAATCCATTATGTTTATTTCTCAATTTCACATTTTTAAACATTTTTTTTAATTCAATAGAGCTTGACTCCTGTCATAAATGGTAGATAAATTGTCATAATGATCACGGTGCAAAATTAATTGCACTTGTCATAATTTGGAGCATTGCAAATACCGTTATCAATAATATCAACGAATGACTCTTTCGACAACCTCTGAATTATGGGGCAGGCAACTTATTGTATTGACCTGTATGTTGATGTTAAATCCTATACGCCAATATTATCATGATACAGATTAGTTTAGATTAGTTTCTTTTGCATGCATGTGTAAGAGAAGGGCTGCGCACCTCCTTTGCCTATTTTATACTATTTATTCTTATATTTTAGATATATGCAGTGTCGCTATACAGGGTGGGAGGTTATAAGTTACAACCCGAAATGTGAAGGTAGATTGGGTTAAGACAAACATAAAAGTCCCATACCGTTTTGCGAGATTCGCAATAATTATCGAGTTATTAATGACTGAAGAAATCTGAAGAATGGGAGCGCGCTGACATAGATGATTGGAGAAGCGTTGTAGCTACTCAGGCCACAGCGCGGCCCACTCGACCCAGCAACGGTTGACGGCGTGCGGCGAGGGGAAAGACAATGCGCTGCTATTCGTTGTTTTATCTCGCCGGACCTACGTCTCGCCGCACGCCGTCAACAGTTGCTGGGTCGAGTGGGCCGCGCTGTGGCCTGAGTAGCTACAACGCTTCTCTAATCATCTATGTCAGTGCGCTCCCATTCTTCAGATTTCTGTCATTAATAACTCGATAATTATTGCGAATCTCGCAAAACGGTATGGGACTTTTATGTTTGTCTTAACCCAATCTACCTTCACATTTCGGGTTGTCAACTTATAACGTCCCACCCTGTATAGTTGTAGAATAAAAGAGCGCGCGCGACGAGGAGCGAGCGAGCGCGAACGACGAACGGCGAGCGCGAACGACGAGCGAGCGAGCGCAAGCGACAAGAGGCGGCCGCCCAGCTCTCTCTACGCGCTCATTGGCTCACATGTTTCAATTAATAATAACTCGATAACTATTGCCAATTTGACATTACGGTACATGACTTTTCTTCTCGGCTACACCCAATCTATCAGTACACAAAATATTAATGATCACATTCCGGACACCCTGTATAACAGAAATATTACATGTTACTCAAATGTTATATAACTGTAATATTATTGTTATGTAAAAAAGTTTACTCCTAATTTTCTCGTGTCTTACATCCGTCGATAGCTTCGAATCCAAGCGGTCACCCTTCTCCATGTGTTAACCATGCTAGGCTTTGCTTAATCTAACAGTCAAGTGATACGCAGTTATCCCAATGACTCCAACAATGTTCTTGTGACTTGTGCTTATATAATGTGTCCTTTCAGTATTCACAGAACGTTATAACCTTTCATGTCAAAAATTAAAATAATGCAACAACATTCGATATGCGACGAACATCAGTATAGGCTGTGTTTCAAAATTACTGGTAATGGAGTATTATAATGATTAACACAAAAAAATAGTTTGAAACAAATTCAAGGAAGTCTAAATAAAAAGTTTTAATTACGTACTAAATCTAAAAATACTTTTGAAAAATATTATCTCAAATCCTGTCTTTTATCAACATGGTCTTTTTCAATGAAATAGAGTTTTTATTTCTAAAAATAATATTATAAAAATATATTTTAATAGAACAACTCAAAATCGGACAAGAATATTAAACTTAAGAATATTAAACCTAAAGAAATTTTTCTGTATGTGAGTTTTGTATAATATACAAGCGTTCTTAAACATTTAAATAGTATAAGTGCGGATATCTCCACGAAAATAGGAATATTATGTCCACGTGAAATCCATGTGGTTTTGTGGATTCCACGTGAATGCGTTCCTCGTGGATTCGATGTACTTTTTGTAAGGATATACATATCAGCATGTATATAAACATGCATTATAAACGTCAATATAAATAGGCAATATGGTCTGCTTAAGCGCGATGAAGGCATTAAAAATACATAGGACTACAAAATAACATAGAAAAACATAGAACTACAAAATAAAGCATCTACAAAAAAGCGGAACGGAATTTCTGATTGATTAGCTTTCCACCATTTCTTTTATTTGTTACTGTTCCGCTTTGCTATTTCTTTCTCTATTGGAATGCACCCTTCGCAATAGAAAGCATTTGCAGCTTTTAATGGATTGCATGAATAGTTGTGTTGTATAACATCAATGTAATATGAACGTAATTACTGTTATATAACGTATTACATTACTGTTATATTATTATTGTAATGTTATCTCTAGCTTATAACAAAACAGTATAACAAATATATAACACAATTATATTACAACTATGAAACCAAATTATATAACTTCAATATAACTAGAGTATAACATATGTTATTAGGTCAATCGGAAAGTTCCGTCCGTTTTCTTGCAAAACGTATGACTTTATTTAAGAAACAAAATGAAAACGTACATCACTCAAAATATTGTCCATCGTTAGCAATGACTTTTTCCCATCTTTAGGTCAGCAAGCGAATTCCGCGGCGAAAGAATGACTCATCTTTGGAGGCTATCCAGTCAGAGACCCATTTTTCAACGTTTTCATAAGAATTGAAGCATTCCTTAGCAAGTGCGTGTGCCATCGACCGAAACAAGTGCTGGTCGAAAAGGGCACAGTCTGGTGAATAAGCCGCATGGGGTAACACTTCCCAGCGAAGTGTTTCTAACGTTTCCTTGACAGATTTTGTGACGTGAGGCCGAGCGTTGTCATGAAGTAAAATCATTTTATGCTATCTCGTTTCATATTCTCGTCGTCTTTTGTGTAATGCTCAGCTAAAACGGATCATTTGTTCTCTGTAGAGATCCCCTGTGACTGTTTGACCACTTTTCAACAGCTCATGGTACAGCACATCCTTCTGATCCCACCAAATACAGAGCATTGCCTTTTTTCCGTGGATATTCCGTTTTGGCGTCGATGTTGAGGGTTGACCGGGATCGCAAACAGTTTTTCGACGTTTGGGGTTGTTAAAACAAATCCATTTTTCATTCTCAGTGATGATACGATATAAAAACTCCTTTTTTGTTGCCTAGCAAGCAGAATTTCGCAGGTGATTTTTCGCCTTTCAACGTCTCTTGGCGTTCGTATGGGATCCATTTTCCTTTCTAGTAAACCTTTTCTAAAGTTTTCAAACGATCGGAAATGACAGATTGAGCACAATTTAATGCTTCTGTAAGTTGCTTTTGCGTTTGACATGGGTCTTCGTCCACCAATGCCTGCAATTCTTCGTCTTCGAATACTTTTGGTCGTCCAGAACGCTCTTTGTCCTCTACATCAAAATCACTAATTTTAAAGCGTCGAAATCATTCTCTGCATGTTTTATCGGAAAGAGCATTATCACCATAAATTTATACAAGCATTCGATGAGCTTCAGCTGCAGTTTTCTTCCAATTGAAGCAAAAGATTAACACTTTGCGCAAATGACGCTTATTTGGCTCAAATTTCGACATTTTCGATGCAGTGAAAAAAAATGTTATTGATGCAAACGTATACTTTTATGTACTGAATGTTATTAACAGATGTCGAAACAAACTATTAAGCTTCGTTTAGACATTAGAGGTTAACGACAATTCTAGCTATAGCTACTTGTCGCTAAACGGACGGAACTTTCCGATTTTACCTAATATATTACCTAATATATTACATGTTACTCCTATGTTATATAACAGTTATATTCTGTGTTTGCTGGGGGTATTCAATTATGGATTACTTCCATTGTTATTAGCGGGTGAAATATGTTTAAAAAATTTACTATCTTTTTATAAAATCTTATTAAAAATTTACTTCTTTACCAAATGGCTGTAGTTGAAATATTAGTTTTATAATAGTCGTTATCTGCGACCAAAAAATCATTTCGAGTTTGATATATTATCTGTGTCTGAAACCACCGTACACCCCTTTTCTTTCAAAACTAAATATTTTGGAGAAAAACATTTTAGACAAAAAGTGTATGGTTTCAAGGGCAATATAAAACAATTATATCGGTTTGTTTACAGATGGCGCCACTATAGAGATGTTCACTGATCACTTTTTTCTGATTACTTTTTTCAAATGGAAACCCGAATTTTTTATTATATCATCTTTTTCTACTAATTAATTCGAATAACTTTTATTGGAAATATTGTTTTATTTGCTTAATATCTGTTGAGATAAATATTTAAGTAAAACTTGGTAACTTTTCCAATATTTAACTTACGATATCTCGCTATTTGTTGGAAGACAAAATAGTACTAAACATTTTACTCTATTTGATTTCAAGAATATATTGTTACAATAGTGCCTTAACTTTGTTAACTTATCGACTTCTGGAAATTTCAAAATCATCACATTAACAAAAGTCAGCGTGCAATTGTAATAATATGTTCTTGAGACTAAAAAGGGACATGTCACAACTGTCCGGAACCGATTTGATTCTCCTTCAAATATGTTGTTAAATACACAAATCTAAAAGACACGTATTTTTTTATATGTACGAATATTGAGTTTTAAAGGGTGAAACACCCCTTTAAAGAAAAACGGTATTTTTCTTTAGAATCGAATATCTGCTAAAATATAAGCGATAGAAAAAAAAACATGTGATAAAAATTTAATTGTTTGAAGAATACTTTAAAGTTATATGAACAAAAATTTTTTATTTTTATTTTTTTTTAAGAACCCCCACCACTTAATTTTTTTTGCAAAATACAAAAATTTTTGTATTTTTGTATATGGAAATTTTTGTATATGGAAGCGTTTATAATTAATTTTCGAGAATGATATCTCGTAACATAACTTTATCATATATGATTGAATTAGGAAAAAAATAAGCTTTAAATTAGGTAAAAAAAATTTTTGTATTTTGCAAAAAAAATTAAGTGGTGGGGGTTCATAAAAAAAAATAAAAATAAAAAATTTTTGTTCATATAACTTTAAAGTATTCTTCAAACAATTAAATTTTTATCACATGTTTTTTTTTCTATCGCTTATATTTTAGCAGATATTCGATTCTAAAGAAAAATACCGTTTTTCTTTAAAGGGGTGTTTCACCCTTTAAAACTCAATATTCGTACATATAAAAAAATACGTGTCTTTTAGATTTGTGTATTTAACAACATATTTGAAGGAGAATCAAATCGGTTCCGGACAGTTGTGACATGTCCCTTGTAAGTAGAGTAAAAAAGTCTAGTACCATTTTTTCTTCTAATAAATAGCGAGATATCGTAAGTTAAATATTGAAAAAGTTACCAAAGCTTTCTTAAATATCTAAAAAGATATTAGGCAAATAAAGAAACGTTTTAGATAATAGTTGTTTAAATTAATTGGTAGAAAAATATAATGAAAAATTTAGGTTTCCATTTAAAAACATAATCAGTGAATATCTTGAAAGTAGAGTTATCTGTAAACAAATCGATATAGTTGTTTTATATTTCTCTTAAAACCATACAATTTTTGTCTAAAACGTTTTTCTCCAAAATGCTTAGTTTTTGAAAGAAAAGGAGTGTATGGGTGGTCTTAGACACCCAGTATATTCATAATGGAATATCAAAATTAATTTGGAGTTACCATATTTTGGATTCGTTATTTTTAATTTTAAAATTTTGAGCCTGGATTTATCACTAGCGCCCGCTAAAAAATTCTAGATAAGCTTCCATGTAAAATACGAAATTATTTACTTTCATCAGTTTTAGTATTAAACATTAATTTCGGACTGATTGGACAACAGTGAACTGATTAATGATTATCTTGGTATTGACATAAACTGTATAATTTTTCAATTTCTTTGTTAACATATTTTTTTCATAAATAACAAGAACTCTAACTAAAACCTTTGAGACATTATTCATAGTGATAGTCATAATAACATTTCTCATAATTATTTAAATCAGAAGGTGGTCCCTACCTCTATACAGAGTGTCTCAAAACAATTATCCTTTGAGGATGAAAGAGAGTAAAATTCTGAGTCGAAAGTTCCTCTTCCATTTCTTCCTCCGATCATTAACAACAAAGTTATTAACGAAGAATGTCGACCAATCCATTATCATCCATTTGATGAACTAATTGATTTCATCATTTTTAATCAACAAAAGCATAAAAAATCGACTGAATACAAGTTTAAAAGTATAAATTTTATTAAATGTTATTTTAAATGAAAGGGACCAATAGTTTTTCAGTAATCTTGAAAAAGACCGATTTCTTAAAGCGTCGGTTCAAAATGTTCGCAGAAACTACGTAATGTGTGTTCCGTGTACTCTTTTACAACGTGTTAATTCATTACAATAAATTCTCGTTTTACCTTTTGTTTTGCTTTTCATATATTTATGTTTTTATCTTGATATCTTGCGGATTGAGAAACGACTGACAGAGTTGTTGTTATTTCTTGCATGAGATACTCTTTAGTAACAGTTCCTCAATCCTAAACGCAACGAGATTCACAACATAAACAATGAACTGTTAAGACAAAGGAAAAAGTGAGATCAAATAGATGATAAATGAGTTATTTGATATCATTAGATAAAGACAAGTTTCGGCACCAGTAGGGCGAAGTCCTGTGCCAGTGTATGGCACTGCGCGACAGTCGTGCGCGCCACGCCATTGGTCGACTTTTTTTGTTAATAATTTTGTTATTAATAGTCGGAGGAAAAAATGAAAGAGGAACTTTAGATTCAGAATTTCACTCTCTTTCACACTCCGGAAGGATAATCGTACATTTTGAGACACCCTGCATAATTATTGCATAGCATATCAATAAAATTTGAATATATCTCTATCATACTGTACTGTATTTTTTTTTTAAAGAAATATTATGTATCTAATATTCATGAACCGAAAAGAAGATTCAATTGTAGAGAGTTTTTTTTATTAAGTTCTATCTTTTAAGAAAGTTACTTACTTCGGAATCTCTACTTTCAACGTCAGCATTCGCACGTTCTAGTAGAAACCTTGCCATAGTTATTCTGTTTTCTAATGCAAGTATATATAGAGTACTTCTCCCATCGGCATCCTTTGCATTAACATCAGCATTGTAAAATAATAATGTTCTCACGGTATCATAATGTCCTTGTAAAGCAGCAAGTCTATAAAAGCAACAGATAGTATATACATATATATACATAGATATATATATTATATAATTTCTAAAATCTGTCAGTAAAATCCTATTTATACGTATGTTGCGAAATTTTTATGATATTTATTATTACTATACAAGACAATGTCGTGTTCACATATTACATTGGTATACATATTGATGGATTACATTTATTTGTGTGAGTTATTATTTTTGTATCTTATGAACTTAAAGGTTTACGTTGGTTGTTTAATAAGTTTTAAGCCTAATAATGAAGCACTTATATTTTTTAGCAAAGTAGATTTTATTTTTCAATATAATCTCCTTCTAGCTCGATACACTTTGTCCATCTCTTTTCTAATCCCATCCATTCCGTCGCAAAATATTTATTTACGCGACAATCACTTTTCTATTGGCCGTGAATATTTTCCTCTTAATTATTTCTTCATGTTCGAAAATAAAAAAAGTTGTAGAATCAGGCGAAGAAAGGGGAAGGGGCAATTTATAGTGTAATTTCATGCAATTTAACTATGACGATTGCAGATGTGTAAACTTGTGTGTTGCTTGGTGAAAAAATATCTTTCTCTTTTTCAAATGCGGTCGTTTTTTTTCGATTTCTTCTTTCAAACGTTTTAATAATAATGCATAATATGCACCAGAGAGAATTTTTTTTCTGTAGCTAATCGATAAGCAATATACTATGACTATCACACATAAAAAACAGTATCTATAACTTTTCCCTCCAAATGAAACATCTTCGCTTTCTTTGGAGCGAATTTATCTGATGAAGTCCATTGTTTTGACTGTTCTTTCGTTTCAAATGTGTAGTCATAAATCCATGTTTTATCAACAGTCACGAATCGATGCAAAAAATTCCCACTTGAACTGGTCCAAACACTCCTTTAAAATATTGTATCGAATATATTGGGTGTACAAATTAGTTCAGTCCGTTTTCAAAAGATGGCTCCGGCTGTTATGAATGGTTCATAGTGACTGCCGATTTTGGCGGTTTCAGAGAGGTTAGACATCTGTCAATAATATTCAGTTTATATCGCTTTGAGTTTCATACAAAAATCTTGCTTTTTACAATGTTGAAAATGTCGAATTTTGTGTTAACCAAGCAGCATTTGCGGGGGGTTTTGCTTTAATTGGAAGAAAAGTGCAGCTAAAGCCCATCCAATGCTTGTTGAAGTTTATGGTGGCTGCTCCAACTGATAAATCATGTAGGGAATGGTTTCGACGTTTCAAGGATGGAGATTTCAGCGTCGAAGACAAGCCTCGCTCTGGACAGCCAAAAGAATTCGAGGACAAAGAATTAGAGGCATTACTCGAAGAAGATCAGAGTCAAACGCAAGAGGAGCTTGCAGAATCATTGGGAGTGACTCAACAAGCCGTTTCCGTACGATTGAGAGACATGGGATTTATTCAAAAACAAGGAAATTGGGTTAGATTAAAAACTGAAACCGAGAGCCGTTGAAAGGCGATTTTTCACTTGCGAGCAGCTGATTCAAGGGCAACAAGGAAAAGGTTTTTTGCATCGGATTGTAACTGGAGATGAGAAGTGGATATTCTACGACAACCCCAAGAAGAAAAATACTACGCCAAGCCCAGTCAATTGTTGCCATCGACCTCAACATCAACACCAAAGCCGAACATACATGATTCGAAGATCATGCTCTGTATCTGGTGGGACCAAAAGGGTGTTGTTTACTATGAGCTGCTGAAACCTGGAGATCCCATTACGGGCGATCGGTATCGGCTACAATTGATTCGTTTGAGCCGCGCATTGCGAGAAAAACGTCGGAATACGAGCAAAGACATGATAAAGTTATTCTTCTTCATGACAACGCTCGGCCTCATGTCGCAAAAGTCGTAAAAATATATTTGGAAACGCTCAGATGAGATGTTTACCGCACTCGCCGTATTCTCCGGACTTGCCCCTTCTGATTACTGGTTGTTCCGAAGGATGCAGCACGATTTAACAGGTCACCGGTTCACTTCTTTCGTAGAAATCGAAAATTGACTCCAAACTTGGGTCGCCTCAAAAGACGAGTCATTTTTTCGAGATGGAATTCGAAAATTGCCTGAGAAATGGGAGAAAGTAGTAGCCAGCGATGGTTTTACTTTAATTGATCTGTTCATACATTTTGTTTTGAAATAAATACATTTTTTAACACAAAAAAAAACGGACCGAATTAATTTGTACTCCCAATATTTTTGGTCTAATGTCAACAAGCGCAATACCCATTGTACAGTCAACTTTCATATCCAAATTTTCATATAATATTGTGAACACATGTTCAGAAGATATGTTTGCCGCATCTGTTACAGTCGTTATAGTCGCTCGTTACAGTCTTTGTACAGACTTGGACGCTCATCATCAAACACACTTGTACAGTCAATTTAAACTCGACAACCCAAACGTTCAGCGTTGGGAACGAAGGAACAAAGTCACTATAAACAGAATTCAACTCGGTTTTGATTTCCGTTAGGATTTTCTTTTTTAAATTCAAGCGTTTAATTACGAAACGATATTCGATTTTTCCATCATTAACCCTCTTGCAGTTCTGTTTACTGGCAGAAATTAGTATTAAAACGGTTAAATTTTTTCTGCGGAAGAAAATATTTACTTTTATGTTTTGTAATAGTTTTTGAACGTGCTGATTTCAAATTTGAGGTTGTCGTTACAAAATTCAAAATGGGGGATCAAAAATGATGGACCTGAAAGTAAATTTTACCCCGAGTACAACACTACTGAACTGTCATAGTCTGATAAGGAAGGCTAGATGATTCCTTCGCGAAGCCAGTTATCTATGTGCGCGTTGACTTCTTAACGTTCATGTGGTGACAACATCCTAGCCGCTTTATACACCGGATCATTATCTTATAAAACTATATTCATTTCTACATTCGTTTTTCGCGTCTGAATCGGATTATAACTATCTATTAAATTATGCACGACCTCGCAATGTTTAATATTAGGAATATATGATAAATCTAATTTATCTTTCTTATCTACATTCTATTTTATATATTTCTGGTAACTCACTTTTTTCTAACACAGAAGCTTGAAATTTATTTATTGATATTTCTCTTCTAGTTATATCAACATTATTCAGAAAATTAACCTCTATCAGTAGTTCACATTGTATCAATGTATTTCGTATTACGCATATTTTAATTAGGTACGTATTGTTATCAATCTCAATAATTGGGTCAAATTTTCCCAATGTCGTGTTATTTTTCGAGTCGATTTCGCAAAATTGAATCTCTTTCCTAAGTAAGCTAGGTGCCTCTAATTTAACATGTTGCTTCGCGCATATGTTACTAGATGCGCAACCAAGTTTCCGGGTTTTTTATCAATGGAAAATGGAAAATTTCAAGAGAAATGCAAAAAATGGTTTATTCAAAGTATCGTCCCTCGCTAGCTACACATTTTTGCCATCTCTTTGGCAATACATGAATATCGCGACGATAAAACGATGCGTCTTTGAACCGAAACCATTCATCCAACCAATTTTGCACTTCTTCGAAATCGGCCAAATGTTGCCCAGCCAAGACATGCGCCATCGACCGGAACAAGTGATAATCGGAAGAGGCCAGGTCTGGCGAATATGGCGGGTGCGGTAATAGATCCCATTTCAGCGTTTTGATGGTGTCCTGGACAGTGGAAGTGCGATGACACGGAGCGTTGTTGTGCTGCAATATCACTCGTTCGTGTCTCGTGTCCCATTCTGGCCGTTTTTCGAGTAATGCATGGTTCAAATTGATTAGTTGTTGTCGGTAGCGATGCCCATTGACAGTTTCGCCCGGCTTCTTTTCAGCAGCTCATAGTACACGATTCCTTTCTGGTCCCACCAAACGCAGAGCATTGTCTTCTTTCCGAAAAGATCTGGCCGTGCCGTCGATGTTGATATTTCGCCAGGTGAAAGCCACGATTTTTTGCATTTGGGATTCTCGAAATATATCCACTTCTCATCGCCAGTAACAATTCGATACAGGAAACTCTTTCTTTCATGCCACAAAAGCAAAATTTCGGAAGTGGCTCTTCGATTTTCCATCTGTCTCTTAGTCAACTCATGCGGCACCCATTTTCCTTCCTTTTGAATTCTTCCCGTAGCATGTAAACGTTTGGAAATACCTTGGCGAGTCATGTTTAATGCCTCCGCAAGTTGATCTTGTGTTCGAGTATCATCTTCATCTAATAACGCTTGCAGATCGGCGTCCTCAATTGTTTTTGGTCTTCTGGAGTACTCCTTGTCCTCAGAGTCGAAATCGCCACTTCTGAAGCGTTTAAATCAATCTTCACAAGTAGTTTTCGATGATGCATGTTCGCTGTAGGCCTCCTCAAGCAAATGACGTGCTTCAGCTGCACTTTTTTCAAGTTAAAGCAGAAAAGCAAAGCTTCCCGCAAATGCTGTTTATTTGACACAAAACTCGATATCTTCGTTGTTAGAAAAAATATTTTTGCGTTGCGATATGTGTTGGTATTACGACTGGTTACTGTTAACAGATGTCCAAGCTATAAAAAAACATAACTTCAAACATGTATGTCGACTACATGTGTCGTTAGCGCCATCCACGTGTGAAACCCGGAAACTTAGTTGCGCACTATGTAATGAAAAATCGCTTCCCGTGTCAATTAAAGCCGTAAAACTCTAATTCTCAATCTTAACTTCTTTACCGTACTTCTTATTCACTAACTCAGAAACGTTATAGCTATCTTTTGTCTCATTATTTTTCTTCGGGCATTTAGATACTATGCCAAATTCCTGATACTTAAAGCACTTCATATCTTTATCTTTTACTGGACAATCTACCATATAATGATTTCGCAATTATGACAGCACTTCGTTTTCACCGTAATCATGATAAGGACGTTCACAAACTAAATGTCCATTACGAGCCTTGCAGTAAGATTTCGTGGTATTATTGGCACGAGGGTCGTTCAATAAGTCCTTAGAAAAAAATAGAAAAACAAATTATTTTGGGTAGATTTTTTTTTAT